CTCAGAACACATACACATTTTGGGAAAATAAATTATTTAGTGTAAATTGGAGTTATGGGATTTTCTGATTTGTTTTGACTTTGGGGGAGGGGTTGGCAATAAATAAGAGTAATATCTAATAAAAACCATCACATATACCAAATACCTATTTAATAAATTAATTTATAATGGATTTTAATGCTTTTCATGAAAGTTTATTTTATGCGAGTGCATACCTTCTGTATGCCAATCATTGTCTTTAAAATAAAGTGAAATTGTTTTTTTCTTTTGGACTTTGATCTTCATTTGCAAAGAGATCCCGCACAAATATCCAGCTGCCTCACTCGCACAGTCTGTATAAACACCCCTCTGAGCCTCACACCAGGGTAGCAAACTTCCTTTTTATAAAGATTAATACAAAAAAAATACCCAATTTGGGATTGTATGTTTGAAAAATCATTTTCTTTTTTTGAAAGTATGAACGTTTTGCTCTGTTGTGAATGATTAATTGTACGTTTTCTCGTTTTCTTTAGAGCCTAAAGTTTAGACCCCCTGCCAAAAGTGAATATTCACAAGTGTGGTGTTCAGAGAAAGTTCTGAGTGTCACTTGAATTTGGTTATTTGAGCAGCAAGTCTAGAAATGAATGCTTGACTTAGCACCTGTGTGAAACTGACCTGTTAAGCTCTCCAAGTGTCTGACCATGGGTGCTTGCAACTCCTCTGTTAAGTCACTACCCTGTGGAGGAAAAGAGTGGCTTTTGCACTGCTGGTTCTACACAAAATAATTAGATGTTGTACAGAGTGTAAACATAAGCCTTAAAGTAGACCCAAAATCTTGCAAAGGCAGGATAGAGCATATATACCAGAATAAAAGGCCTCATGCAGACAGAGGATGCCCAATGGAGTTCTGCCTTGGACTCTCACCCTTATCATTATTTTCTTTCACAGTGACAAAATACATTGGGTTTAGTGTCAGGATCTTATCTTTTAGTCCCCTCCTTCCTCAACTGCAAAGTCAATGGGGGTAATATATGTAATAGCTGAGGGAGGGCTTCCAGGAAGACACGTCTGCAAGGGCCATTGGCACACAGGGAAGAGATCCATTGAAGGTGCTGTGCTATTAGGAAAGAAAACCTCTCAGCCACCCTCAGGGTGGGAAGTGGTGGTCTATGCCTGCATGAATCCAATGCTGCATCCACTCAGGAGTGGCTGAGGACTGGGCAGCCCAGTGGGCCATACATCGGGCAAGAGGCTGCCAGAGCCCCCCATGGGACCTGACCGGAAACACACATATTTAGTTTCTTTCCTCTTGGGTTAAGGTTCTCTGGGGACTGAGATTCCCCTCTGTGTTCCCTTTGGCCATGGCCTGCTAATCACACCTTTTGGTTTGTACAATGTCTGGGTTCCCATACCCTGCCTGCCTAAGAGCCCTCTAAGGGAGCTTGTGGAAGAGTCCTGGTCGTTGCCCTAGACCTGCCAACCCAGAATCTAAGAACAGTCCCAGGGACACCTTGGTTCCCCAGGCTCCCTAAGGACTGCAGCATAGCTAGGACTGGGAGCTCCCCAGCTGGCCCCAGTCCCAACATTCCTTGATGGAACAGAAAGTCTTAGCATGGGAAGGAAACTGCTGATCTGAGATGGCCTCAGAACACCCTGCCCTCCACCTACCCACTCTCATTAGAGAAATCAGTTCACATCTGAATGTGATGCCAAGGATTTGGGAAAACAGAAACTTGGATTCATCAAAACTGAAATACCAACAACATTAGATTGAGATTCATTAACAGGCCACATCATTTAAAACCATAACTGTATTCTGTTCTTTATAAGATGTACGAAGTGGTGGTCAGTCGCCAGCCTCACTTTTTAATAGTTTCAAGTGGTGCCTAACTAGGTATGAGGGCATCCGCCTTCCTTGCCAACATTATATTTTAGAAATAATGACTCAACAATATTGTCACAAAGCTTTCACACACTCCTCCCACACACCCACCCTGTGCAGGAAATGGAGCCCTTGTTTCCAATTTACAGATCCGGAGGTTGAGGCTCAGATTTCGCTACAGTAATTGCCCAAACTCACCCGACTAAAATTTGTGAGCTGAAACAAACCCAGGTCTTTCCAAATCCCAGCTCTTTTTTCTAGAACACTATACTCTGAAAGGCCCTAACTTGTCACCTCTCTGATTTAAAGGCTTGGCTAATGAATACATGATGCTGTAAAAACTGTTAAGTGCTATATAAATACAGGTCCCTTTGTGGCTGCAAGCAAGCCTTGGTCTACAATCAGTCTTAGATACTCTCAGGGTACAAGTACTATTACATTATGAAGCAGCACCTTCCATTCTCTGTACCCAGGTTTCCATCATTCCTTCCACCTTCTCCATCCTCTTTCCTGGACCTTCCCCGTCCACCCAGGCTTAGCTATAAACATTGATGTTCTGCAACACTCAGGCCCCCCTTCTCTCATCATCTCATCTGGTATGATGACTTCAAATTCCACCTCTCTGCAGATGACACCCGGAATTACATCCCCAGTTGTGAACATTCCTCTGAGCTTTAGATGGTACGACAAATGACCTGGGACACCTTTTGTACATCTGCATAACAATTGAACTGATTTCCAACCCCGCCTCCATTCCTGCTCTGGTTTCCCCCCATCTCAATATTAAAGCACTGCCAAGAAACCAGATCAGGTGGCCCTCATTTCCCCTCCCCATCTCGGCAGGTCCCATCCGTTTTCTGGGTTAATTCAAAAATAATCTTGAATATTAATCCCCTGGAGCTGTCCGTCCAGGCCACCTCCTCCTTTCCTGTCAACAGCCTCCTAACTGGTCTGGCCTCACTTCTTAACTCCCTACAACTTTGTTCTCCATACTTCAGCCAAAGGATCTTTCCAGAGTAATCTTGAAACAGATCATACCATTCCTCAGCTTAAAACTCTTCAGTGAATCTTCTGTGAACCTGGAATAGAATCAAGTCTCTCTGCCCCTCTCCTTCCACTCCCGCTCTCAGCTCCCAGCTCCAGCCTCACTGATGGGCAGTTCCTGCGCCTTGAATGCACCAGCACATTTGGAAAGTTTGTACCTTCGAGCCTAAGAGAGGTCTTCCTGGACCACCCCGCCTAAAGAGGGTTTCTCCCCTTTCCCCACTTTTCTCCACTTCCGTGCCTATTTCCCAGATTGTGCTTTATCACAACGTGCATTTTTATTTTTCCTGTTGGCCCCAACCCAGTTTTTGGCATGTGGTAGGTTCTCAGTAGACACTTGGTGACCAAACGAATATCTAATATCTTACTTCTGAAGACTTGAAACACTTTAGCAAAAACTTCTGTTTCTCTTTTCTCCTGCCTCTGGTTCCCAGGAGTCATCTAGAAGAGACCAGAACTGCCACTTTGCCATTCTTAGCTTCTGCTGCCCTGAGGAAGGTGTGGGGTGCTCGGGAAACACCAGCAATGCACCTAGCTATGCTCCATCTTCCCCAGCGTGAATTCATCTAAATGTAAATATTCATTAAAATGGAAATACTGGCTTCTCTCTGGACATGGAACAGATCAGAGCTAAGCAATAACTGCGTTCAGATGGGGGTAGCAAAATCCCTACACTGGGGCCATTATGACCCTGGGTCCCTTTTGGTCTGCATCTCTTTCTCAAGAGCCAGGATATGGTTCCCTCACACCCAAATATGAGTCATTAAGCAATTCCATCATCCGTAGTCGTCACACACCTAGTATTGCTCTCCCCCTCACAGCCATATGAGTTGTGACTGATAGACCTGATCTCTGTCAGGACTGTCGCATTTTCAGAGGGAACATGTCCCCCTTTTCTATCTTAGCACCAAGACATACCAATTCACTGCACATTTCTATTTCTGTGTCATCTTTGCCTTTTTGCTTTGTGACCCCTTTGCAATGTTTCAGGTTTCAAAATGTATTAGAAGACCAGTGCTCTTACCATGACGGCATCCCCGAGGAACGTCCCCTGAAACCCTGTGTGCATGTTAACATGAGGTCCTTGGCTCCTCCTGGGCCACGGTGACTCTCAGAGCAACTTGGGGCAGTCCTAGGAAGCCAGGCCCAGCCACAGGGGCCCAGGCTTCAAGTCCTCCTCTCTGGCACAAAAGCAGGGGGTCTCCCCAAAGGTCACAGGGTGACTCAGGTGGTTTACACATCTGCTGAGCCCCTGGACTCTCTCCTCCACCCATCAATAACTTCCTCTCATTCTGCTGAAAACCACAAACTGAAGCACAGGACCCCTTTTCGTATTTTCCTAGAAGGCCTTTATCACATTCTTTCTGCTTTCTCAGGCAGGCTCCGTTTCTGGTCCTTGACGGCCGGCATCTCCAACAGCAGCACTTCTCTTTGGGTTCTGCCTGGTTTGGGATTTCTGGCCCTGGAAGCTGTCGCTACCCGCTTCGTGCCTGCGGCCATGTTCTTCAGGGTGGAAATCACGCAGTCATGGCGCCTGGCTTAGCTCTCAGGGAGGCAAACTCCACACCTGAGCTTAAATGGCTGCCCCATCCTCCATTCCACAGCAGACAACAATTTGCAAATACCTTCTGCTATGACTGAAAACCAGCTTGTGTTGCTTTGATTAGAACCCACGTGAAAAGAGCCTCCCTGAGATCCTCCCTAGAGAGGGTCTCCTCCCTTTTTTTCCCCAAAATTAGAAAGTTTTCCAAATTCACCAAATTTTTGGGGGGTAGTGGCAGCCCTGGGTAAGAGTCTGAGGAGCCCTGGGTTCCTTGGGAAAGTGGGGGAAGCCTAAAGCAGGAGCCTCTGTACAGGGGTTCAGGACCTCTCCCCACCCTGCTGGAGGAGCACATCTAGAGATGGTGGTGTGAGCCTGGGGGTTCCGCTGAAAAGACAAACGGGTGCAGGGGATGCCGCGGAAATGCAGGACACCCAGGAAGGAGCCTTCCCGCGGCTGCACAGGTGCTCCTGTGACATGGCTTGCCCGGTACCGTTCTGTGGTTGGAAAAGCAATTTCTATTTTAAATTACTTCTTATAAGAACATGACTTTCCTTTCAGACAAAGCCAAACATTTAATCACAGCATAATGCCTACACATTTTAAAATCCTTTCCCTCTTCCATCTCACCAAAAAAACAAAAACAATGCAGGAGACTGCATCATGTGCTCCTCTGTGACCCAGAGCCAGGGAGCCCGTCCCTCCCATTTTTGCGGAGAGGCTGAGCGCTTGGCTTTCCCCGGGGGTGGCTCTGGGTCCCCCCATCCCCAGCACACATAAGGAAGTTGAACAAGATGGTTTGGAAGAAATCGAGCTTCGGTTTCACTGTTCCTTCCCTGGAGTCCTAGGCCAGAGTTCCGCCTCTCCTCTGTGTCCCCAAGTGTCTCTGCTGGCCCAGTGAGGCGGGCCCTACAGCTCCCTGCTGTCGGCCTTCTCACTGTCCTGGCGCTGGTCCTGTCGCCTCTGCTGCACCAGCTGCTTGTCCAGTTCCCGGAGCTGCTTCAGAAAGCCCCGGTTGGGGAGGACGCAGCGGTTCTTGGCCACTTGCTGGATGGCATCCACCAGGGTCATGTCCTTGTGGATCATCAGGTAGGCCAGGACCAGGGTGGCTGACCGGCTGCGGCCCATGACACAGTGAACCAGGATCTTACCTGCAATTGGAGCGGGGAGGAGAAAGCCCACACTGAGGAGCAGATGTGGGGGCCGTGGGCAGGGCCCACTGCCATCCTGTCACCCTCTCACCCACAGCAAGTGACTCAGCACTGTGCCCCACAGCTGCCCCCTCTATAGAACGGGGACACTCTTGGTGTCTTCTTCATAGGGTTGTTGAGAAGGCAAATAACCCTATAAATAACTTGATTTTAGCACACTTTGTTTATGCTAACGAATGGCTGCTGAGCTCCCACAGCGTGGCTGGGCTGCCCTTCCCCTGTGCACCATGGCCAGAAAGCAGGCACCTCCTTCTTGGTTGTTGTTTCGGTTCTGGGGGAGGCTGGCCCCAGAGTCTCCCTGGCATGACCACATTCCTGGGGTGTGCACATGTCCAGCTGGATGAATGTATAGTCCTGGCATTCGAATCCCCACGGGCTGTTCAGGAGGTGCCGGGCCCCTGGCCAGCCCTGCTGATAACCAAAGTGTTTCTTCCTCTCCCAGAAAACAGGGTAATTCTTTCTGTCATGACTCAATACTTGAAACAGATGAAAGCTGTAGTTCATTAAGCCTTTTAGGGGCCTGACGTCTATTAAGTGGCAGTGGGGAGGGGAGAGAGTTGGAAGGGAGATGGAAGGGGTGGGAGAAAAGGGGGAGGTGGAGGGATCGAGAGAGAAAGGGGAAGAGAAGGGACAGAGGACACTCAGCTCTGGTAGGAGCTCCAAGAGCTGAATTTTGTTTTCAAGACTAGGGTATGAGGCCGGGTACAGTGGCTCACACCTGTAATCCCAGCACTTTGGGAGGCCTAGGTGGGCATATCACTTGAGGTTGGGAGTTTAAGACCAGCCTGGCCAATGTGGCAAAACCCCATCTCTACTAAAAATACAAAAATTAGCCCATCATGGGATGCACCTGTAGTCCCAGCTGCGCAGGAGGCTGAGGCAGCAGAATTGCTTGAACCTGGAAGGCAGAGTTTGCAGTGAGCTGAGATCGTACACTCCAGCCTGGGCAACAGAGCAAGACTTCATCTCAAAAAAAAAAGAAAAAGAAAAGGAAACCCAAATCCAGACTCTCTGCTGCTCCTCAATTGCATGCTTTCAGGAGTGACTCAAAGGTAGGCCTCTGTCACTCAAATCAGACATAGGCTGAGGCTGTTACCCTGCACCATGCCCCAACCCCTAGCCAGGTGTGTGCCTTGCTAAGCAGCCTCCTTCCTTGCTTTCAGGAGATGCTCTCTGCCCATCTCCCACGCACTATCTGGGAACCTGCCTTTCTTAGCAACTTGCAAAGAAATTCTGGTAGAGCCCCTACTTCTTCCCAAGAGCTTCTAGGTGTGTGGAAGTCCTGGGAAAAAGGATGCAAGGTGTATTATGAACTGCCGGGGCTGGAGGGAGACAGGGCAGGAAACCCTTAAAACAGTGAAAATAGGTCAGGCGTGGTGGTTCACGCCTGTAATCCCAGCACTTTGGGAAGCTGAGGCGGGTGGATCACTTAAGGTCAGGAGTAGAGACCAGCCTGGTCAACATGGTAAAAACCCGCCTCTACTAAAAAATGCAAAATTTCGCCAGGCGTGGTGATAGGCACCTCCCAGCTATTCAGGAGGCTGAAGCAGGAGAATAGCTTGAACCCAGGAGGTGGAGGTTGCAGTGAGTGGAAATTGTGCCACTGTACCCCAGCCTGGGTGACAAAGCGAGACTCCATCTCAAAAACCAGAAACAAAAACAAAACGGTGAAAATCTGGTCTGGTTAAAGCTTATTAGAAGCAACAGAGAATCAACCTCCTGCTTGAAAGCAGGCTTAATTTATTTATTCATACCTCCCTTATCCATAATAGATTTTAAGACGGCTTCAAAAGCAAGCTATGGACTGTTTAGGAACAAGAAAGAGCAGACAAAAGGAGAGTGTGATACTAAAGTCTGATCTTTAGCACCTCATGACACTTGCCCTGGAGTTTCTTAGAAGACTTCATTAAATTAAAACCACACTAATTCACCTTGGAGCATGCTGCATCGGGAGCAGTTAAGGCAACCCAAGTGGGGTTCCCGTGGCAGTATTTTGTGAGTACTTCTTTTTCTGATGAAGACTGACAAGTTCATTTTTTCAGATCCTATAACCAGCTGTCATGCCTTACCCTCCATATTTGGTGACCTCTTATACAGCAAAGTCACCAGGTGTTCAAAATAAGGGCAGAGGACTCTTCTGTGAGGCCTCAGTGACAGAAGGAATCCCTGCTGGCAAGCAGGTGTCCTGATGGCACTGCCTCTGATTAGCTCTGTGACCCTGGGCACCTCACTTGGCTTCTCTGGGCCTCTGTTTGCCCAGCTGTCAGGGCAGGATCAGAGATTAGATTATCTCCGAGATATTTTAAGAGTGACTGAGGTTGCCTGGGGAGTTCTTTCTAAAGGGTCAAGGCAGGGTAGGGATGGGGTGGGAGAGGGCCCCAGAGGCTGATTACAGCCCATGATACAGCTCCACAGCACCACAAGGAATGCTTTTCAAAAAGAGTGAAAAAAAGACTGGCTGTGAGAAGCCGGGTGGGGGGAATGGTGTACACTTGGCTGAAACCAGTCAATGGAGAACGAAGAACAAAGACAAGAGGAAGCAGAGTGATGCTTTGCTTTTTGGCCAGACTGTCCATCCACACCTCTTACATCAAGTGTATATGAAACATACAAGTGGGTCTGGTTGGCATTAAAAAGCCAAGCGCGTCCCTTAGTTTTCCCTTGTGTCCATCACTAAAATGCCAAGCAGTGTCCCTTGGTATTCCCTTGGGTCCAGCACTAAAATGCCAAGCTGCGTCCCTTGGTTTTCCCTTGGGTCCGGCACTAAAATGCCAAGCAGTGTCCCTTGGTTTTCCGGTGCATGTCTAGACACAACTGGGCCACCCACTCCATGTGCCAGGTGGGCTGAGCACCTGCTGTCCGCTGGGTATGAAGCCTATAATATTGCTGCTGCTGAGTTAGCGGGCATTTTGTTTGGTTGCTCTGACCACTCAGGGCACAGGTTACAACCTGATGGCCATTGGGTTGCTTTAGTTTGTTCTTTGTAGCATTTCAAGAAATTTTAATCTGTTGCCAAGACCTAAAAATTGAGCGATTTTATAGTAAAATCCAGATTGGAGACTTCTGAAAAGCCAGATCTCCCACATTTGCACTGACTCTCAGAAGACAAGCATTGGCTGAGGCTGAGTGGCAGGTGCCCCTCTGAAGGGGATACAGGGCTCTCTGCTTAGCCACAAGCACCCCCTACCCACATCCCCCTGCTGTACATGCAGCCAGCTGTATTTGTTTACACTCTGCATGCTTCTGCACATTAGGCATTTGAACCCTGACTTGAGGAAGTCTTCAGCCGGTACAAAAGCGTTGACAGCAGAGCCCAGCCTGCCATCTCCCATGGGGTCATGTCCTGCTCCCCATCCCTAGCCATCCAGTCAAGTCCCAGCAGCCCCATCCATTCATTCTATCCCCCTCATAGTCTCTGATCTGAGTATATACTCTCTTCCCTTGGCCCTTCGTTTGCTAGGTGCCACCTTGTCTAACAGTCACGACCCACAGCAGCCTGACACCTCCTCATGATGTTCTGTCATCTGCCTAGGCTAAGCTTCTACATGAGAGCCTGATTCTTTCTGGATTTGGCAGTGGGGGCAGACTCTAAAACGGAGTGCCAGGAACCTAAAACAAGCTTTCATGTGAGTATATCTTACAGTTCAAAGTTGGAATGTATTTTTTTTTTTGAGATTGGAAACTTTATGATGATGATGTGCACATGCTGGCGTGATTATATTCTTCACGGTATATGACCACACTTTATCAAAAACATCCGAGAGCCTGCTGTCTGCCAGGTTCTGTGCTAAGTGCTTTATGTGTGTTACTGCTGATCCTCATTAGAACCTCTGAAGGTAAACATTTTTATCACCGGATGGAGAAACCAAGGCTCAAAGAAATCACATTGTTAGTAAATTGTGCGACAGAAATTTAAACCCAGCCATGTCTTTTCCGAAGCCTGCCAGGCCCCTTCCATGAAGGGTAAGGTCTAAAATATAGTAATGGCAAGTGAGTGCATTAAACAGAAACTGAAAGATTAGGTTGCTGCAGTGTTTTTTTCATGTCAAATATGTTTTCAGTTAACATCAAATACTATGAGGCAAATTTTACCTTGTGGTGATGACTCAGCTCAGTTGCTTTTTTGATCCTGCTTGGAAACTCAGAATGTACACAGCACAAAAGACAGTTCAAAAATAGACTCATAAAAGGAAGGCTTGGAAATGAGGCATCTTCCAATACAAGCATGTTAGCTCTAGGGGTTTTTTTCATTGTGACATTGCTTTCTGAGCCAAAATAATGACATATTGTTGGTGGCTATGGCTGGCTGTGGGGTCAGGACCACCTCAGGATGCCCATTAAGGTCTGATACCGTCCAGCAGACCTGGCCTAGGCCCAGTCCCAGTTTGCAAGTTCCTGCCGCTGACAGTTTGGTCAGTCACTGAGCCTTGTCGTCACAACCTCTTGTGGCAAGAAAGGCTTTCAGTAACTGGATACCCTGAATTATGTGACGGCCCCACAAAGGGCTGTGTGACACATTGGGCTGAAGTCAGAGCACAGATTAGGGAGCTGAAGTCCCTCTGGCCTCTGTGGAATGCCACTGAAGTACACCCTGCAGCAATAACTGTATATTGTCTTACCCCCAATGGGTACCTAAGCTGTGCCCTTCTCTCCAAAATAGCCTTGTAGCTTTTGCTGGATTAGGGTGGCCAACAGTGCATTCCGAGCACAAAGACTAGCACTGTGATTTAAAAGATGGATAATTAACGCTGGAAAAACTTGGACACTGGAGGTGCAAAACCCAAATTATACCTCAAATACAGCTTGTCAGCTTTCTACTGGAGGCCTCGCTAGGCTGAGTGTAATTGGGGACATGATGGCTAGAGAGTGGGCTGTGAACTTGGTTGGCAGGAAGGGGAATTTAAAGTCTCTCCATGGATTCCCGCTCCCTGAGTGTTTTGAATCCCTTGTTTACCAGCTGAGTTGGGGCCCAGGCACAATTAGTGTCTCCGGCGGCGTCCCAGCTTTGAGGCCGAGCGCCTCTTGAAGTATGGCAAATGTTCTTTAGCAAAGACTCCGACAAAAAGGCCTTTCCTTTACACCCTCCCAATTTCCATTCCCCAGAGCTGCAATCAAGGCCTGAAGCCACCAGCAGCACGCTTGGTGGTGCAGGTCCTTAAACCTTCACAGCTTCCAGGGTCTTGGAAATATAGTAATGGCAAGTGAGTGCACTGAACAGAAACTGAAGGATTAGGTTGTTGCAGTCTTTGTTGTTTTTTTTTCAAACGTCAAATATGTTTTCAGTTAACTTCAAATACTATGAGGCAAATTTTACCTTGTGGTGATGACTCGTTTCAGTTGCTAGAGGGTGGACTGGTGAACTAGGTTGGTGGGCAGGAGAATTTAAAGTCTCTCCATGGAGAGGCATTACCGTCGGCCGCTAGCAGCCCCAGTGGCCTGGCTTCGCGACAGACACATTTTTCGCATGCGCAGATCCCGCTTCCGGCCTGGGCCTCAGGCGGAGAGACCTTGGGCTAGGGGCGGGGCCTAGGCGGACCGTGGGAGGGACGGGGCCTAGTCTGGGGGCGGGGCGGAACGGGGCGGATGGGGCGTCTCTTACTGTGGTCGTCTCGCAGCGCTCTGTCGATGAAGGCGGCCGCCGGGTAGAAGAAGACACTGAGGTCGAAGGTGGGCAGGTCTTCGGCCTCCACACCGTGGTACTGGATGTCCATGTCGTGGTAGTAGTCGGGCCCGGTGTCCACGTTCCAGCGGCCGTGGGCCGCATTCAGCACGTGCGTGAAACCAGCCTTCTGCAGCCCGTAGCGGTCCAGCGCCGTTGCCCTGAGTGCGGGGGAGAGAGGTCGGTGGGCACGCTGCACCTTGCCCGGGGTCTGGGAAACGGGCTGCCCACGCTTTCTGCCGTGGATTCCAGTTCCCAGAATAAGGACGAATCATTGCAAATGAAGCCCCAAAGCTCTGTTCTTACCCGGTCCCCTAGGCCACCTGCTGCTTTATGATTCTGGCTCGACTGTTTCAAGAAAGGAAAGGGTAGAGGCTGGGGTAGGTGGGCTGAGCTATTCGTTCGCCCATTCATTCTTTCATCATTCACTAGACACAGCGGAGCCTGGTGCTGCACTCTGTGGTGGTCGCAGGTCTGGACCTGCCAAATCGCCCGAGAGCCTTCCAGAATAAACTGTTCATTGGGGCTGCCTTCACCCAGCCTCTCCTCTGAACCTGCTGGATGTTTTCAGGGTTTGGAGATGGAGGCTCAACTGAATGGTTTAAAGCAAGGCCTTCCATGAGAGGATTGGATTGGGATTGGGCAAAGTTCACAAATTCACATTGGCACGATGTGAACGGGAAAGTGTTGCTTTGGGGAGCTGTTGCCCAGTTGGGCAGAGCATTGTTCTGAGAAGGATGGCTTTTTGAGCTATTGTTTGAATTGCAGGGAGGTTCTTGAAGCCAGCAGTGAAGTTATTTAATGGGCTACAGCTTTATCTTTCTAGGCAAGAATTTCCAGGAACGGTAAAGTCCTCTCGAAGTAGATGGTTCTGAACATAACTCGACCACAGGGCAGCATGGTGGGGCTGGGCTGGAGCTGGGCTGCCAGAGGAAACACGGGTTCTTCCTGCCTGCAGGGCTGGGCAGGGAAGGGTGTGTGTCACTACAAGTGTCAACTTTGGTAATGGAGGGGAACAAGGAGGCAAGCCAGGGCCAAGCCAAGGAAACAGCACCGCCTAAGGTATGGAGATAGAGACAACGAAGGCCTTTCAGAAAGCCTTCACTATTTCCTGTAATCAATTCTCCATCCCCAGATTTGAAGTCTATTGTGTGCCAGGCACTGTGCTGGGTGCTGATGGTAAATAAGTGAACAGGGACCAAACGCAATGGCTCACACCTGTAATCCCAGCACTTTGGGAGGCCGAAGCAGGCAAATCATTTGAGGTCAGGAGTTCAAGACCAGCCTGATCAACATGGCAAAACCCTGTCTCTACTAATAATACAAAAAAAAAATTGGCTGGGCTTGGGGCACATGCCTGCAGTCCCAGCTGCTCGAGAGGCTGACACAAGAATCGCTTGAACCCCAGAGGTGGAGGTTGTGGTAAGCCAAGATGGCACCACTGTACTCCAGCCTGGGCGACAGAGTGAAACTGTGTCTTAAAAAAACAAACGTGAACACGTTAGTCAAGGTCCCTCAGGAAGGTCAGATACTAATGCGGGTAGGAAATAAACAACGCATACAGATAATTTCAGATAGCAGTGAGAGCTATCCCAAGGACCTAAAACTTTATGACATGCTACAGAATGACTGTGGTCCTGCTTCAGGCAAGGTGATCAAGAAAGGCCACTATGGGGAGGTGGGGTTTAAGCCAAGACAGGGATGAGAAGGCTGAGGAAGAGTTGGAAAAAAAGTGTTTCATCCAGGCGAAGGGAACAAGTGCTGAGAACAGAAAGGAAGCCAGTGTGGCTGAAGTAGCAAGGGGAATAGCGGTACAGGAGTTTAGAAAGGAAGGAGGGGCTGGATCGTGGTGGGCCCTGCAGGCCATAGGAAGGAGTTTGAGTATTATTGTAGTGTGGTGGAAGTCTGCTAGAGGATTTTAAGGGAGGAGTAAGCATTCTTTACTTTTTTAAAGATCAATCTGGCTGGACAAGCTGGCTCACACCTATAAACCTGGCACTTTGAGGAGGCCTAGGTGGGAGGGTGGCCTGAGCCCAGGAGTTCAAGACCAGCCTGGCCAACATCATGAAACCCCATCTCTACAAAATATGAAGAAAAATATTAGCCAGGTGTGCTGGCAGGTGCCTGTAGTCCCAGCTACTGGGGAGGCTGAAGTGGGAGAATCACCTAAGCTTAGGGAAGTCCAGGCTGCCTTGAGCTGTGATCGCACCACTGCACTCAGTCTTGGCAGCAGAGTGAGACTCTGTTTAAAAAAAAAAAAAGGAAAAGAAAAATCAGTCCGGCTGATGTGTGGGAACAGATCGTGGATGCCAGGATCTGTGTCTGGGAGTCAAGGAGAGCTTTAGAGGGTGTTTAAAGAGACGTGATCCAACCTGGGTTTAAGAAGACATCTCCCTCAATAACACAAAGACCAGTACATCAGCTCAGGTAAGATGTGACAAGGGTCTGGAGCCATACCAGTAAAAGGGTAAAAGTGCCATTGTGCTCCAGCCAAAGGCTCCTCTCAAGGCCACTGGTAAAAGGATATGGACAGAAGTGACCGTGTTGGATGCTAGCAGGGACCAACACCCTGGGCCAGGAGGAGCCTCACACCAGAAATACGTGCCATGGCCCCTCAGCCAAGGGCACACTTATCTTTCACTGATTTCCTGGAGCTTTTTATTTGCCATGAGAACCATGGTGGTGTCCAGTGTTTGGGAAAGGGATTGAGCATTTGGAAACATTTGCAAACAGCCCATTGGAACTGTGGCATGGGGAGGCGGGGAGTCCCACTGAGCACACCTCCACTTGGCTCTTGCTGCAGACATTCTGACTGTGGAACACATTGGGCTTTCAATTTTTCCTCAGAAAGGTCTGCTTTTCATTTTTCCTGTTGTCCCAAAGCATGTATACAACAAACATTATGCTCTGGGGACGTAGATCTGATCCCGATTAAAGCCACCACTAATGTGGTCCATCTTGCTGAGTAGCAATCAACCTCACTTTGAGGTTGAGCTCAGTGGAAAAATTAAAAATAACTCTCCTTGACAGGAAGTTCCTACCCACCATGAAGACTGTTCTCTCTGGGTTCAGTAACTGGCTTTCAACATAATCAAATGGCAGTTTGAATGAATTACAATTTGCACTTTGCCACTTTTGGGCAAGGGGGTAGATATGCAACAAGTCTCATTGCCTGACACCTCCATATCCACCGCAAGAGGCTGCCATTGGCTGTGCCTGAAGGAGAGAAAGGGGCTCACAAGGACCCCAAGACCTGGTGGGTATTTGAGGCCTGCCACAAGTTTTCAGGGTCTTGGCTACCTGGGCCGGGAAGGGGAGTTGATATCCTCACACATCATTCGGGGGACTTCCCCCAGTTTGGTTTACTCAGAGTTCAGTTGAGGGCTTGAAAGAGCATCCACAGCAGAATGGGAATCTGCAAATAAATGGAATGCCTCTTACACAGATGCTGTGGGGGAGGCAGAGCCATCATCACAGACACCCACCGTCCAATCCCCAGCTGGGATAGACACCCAGCTCAGTGATTACTGGGAGTGGGACAGGCTCAGAGAGTGATGTCTGGCACTATACCGTTTTGGTTTTGTTTTTAAATTTCAGGGCCAGATACATTATCTGCTCACATATGTTGAAAAGAGACTAACAAACACAGAGGCATTTTGAGGTGATGGGCATGGAGAAAGGGCTGTGTGCCCCACTCCTGGGTCCACATTAATGCCTCTGCTGAGGGAGAAAAGACTTCAGAAAGAAAAACAGATTTAGGAATTTACTTCCAGAATCTAGATGACACAGGAGCTTTAGTTACTGGTTAGGGGCAATCCTAGATGTGATCGTCTATTAAAATTTTAAATAATGTGTCATCTCACAACAAAAATAACACAGCTCTATGTAGAATGTAGAAAACATACCCTCCACTCCAAAAAAATCGCCTGTATTTCTGCTCCCCTAGAGTTAAAGGTTCTTGTTGGCTTTTGATGTAAGATCCTCCCATTGTTTTTCTAGGTATAGATTTGTATATTTTATAGAGAGTTGCTTTTTTTTTTGGTACAATATGATAAAGTTTCAAAACCTTTGATGTGGTGGCATATTGTAAGCATCTTCCTATAGCAACATATAACTTCAATAACTGCATGCTATTTCATTATATAGGTAAATCCCAATTTTTTCTTACCAAGCATTTTGCTGTTTCTTTGGGCACTTCTCTGATTATATCCATAGGAGACATTTTTACAGGTGAAATTGTTGAGTCAACAGATATGGCCATTTTAAAATACGTTTGATACTTGTTACTAAATTACCCTACAGAAAAGTTGGAGTTTGATTTTTATTCTCTAATTTCATAGGCAAAAAAAAATTAATGGTGTCTCATTTTCACTGATTCATTTTAGCAATGAGGTTGGACATTGTTCACACATTTGTTGTTGGACTCATGCAATTTACCTTCTATTTTTTTTACATTTTTTTGACGTTGCCCAGTCCATTGGAATCATGCAGTTTACTTTTTTTTTTTTTTTTTNGAATCATGCAGTTTACTTTTTTTTTTTTTTTTTGAGATGGAGTCTCACTTTGTCCTCCAGGCTGGAGTGGAGGCGCAATCTCAGCTCACTGCAACCTCGACCTCCCGGGTTCAAGCAGTTCTCCTGCCTCAGCCTCCCGAGTAGCTGGGATTACAGGTGTGTACAACCACGCTCAGCTAATTTTTGTACTTTTAGTAGTCAAGCTGGTCTTGAACTCCTGACCTCAGGTGATCTGCCCACCTTGGCCTCCCAAAGTGCTGGGATTACAGGCGTGAGCCAACACACGCAGCCTACACAGTTTGTTTTTGAAGAACACTGTCAGTCATATCCCAGTTCTGACTCACTTCTCTTGAACCCTTCTCCCTTCCTGTGAATTTACAGCCTAGCTCTGGATTCTGACTCCAGACTAGAGGAGGGCTGAGGAAGTGTATTCCTTCTTGCATGGCCCATTTTCCTCAGCTAAGCCCTTCCCTCCCTGCCTCCTCTGGCCTGACCCAGACACCTGCCAGCTCCTCTGGAGTTGTTCCCAGGAAGCTTGCTTCAAAGCCCCATCCTGGAGGAATGACAGATAAGCTATCTCTCCATGAGGCAGTCTCCTTGGGCAGTGCTCCTGACGTTTCACTTGTTCAGACCCCTTGTCACCCTCC